AATATCTTTGTAATACTTATATTTTAAAATTAATATTTAATTTTTCGCCACCAATAACTATATTTTTAATTTAAGATGTACGTCTAGTATTTTACATTTCTAATACACTTATAGGCACAACATAAAATAGTTCCAATGATAGGTAATTTGATTTTAACAGAAGTTTCATTTCATAAGAGTGTGTTTGTTTTATTATAAATATATTTCTGTGACTTGCTTGACTAAATGAAAGCAACACCCCCTATTTTACTTCCAGGCTAAACTTAAATTTTTTTTTTTGTTAAGAATATTTTTTTCACATGAACTGTGGCTTATAATTGGATATAAACTAATAAGTAATATTGAATACAATAATAGTTATAATACATATTCATAATAGTTGAATACATATTTTAAACCCAAGAACAGTTAATTATAATAGTTGATACAAATATTTTGTAAAAAAAATAAAACATATTATGGATGCTATAATGGACATTTTTTTAGATAATTTCATGAATACTCTTGCAACAATAATTTCACATACAATGGTATAACCTAGTTTATTTATATTTCAGTGTCATTAACTTAATCAGTAATACATATTAACTATATTATACTCTATTATTTCTGAATATTTGACAGATTTTTAAACTTTAAACTGATAGAACAAGTGAACAGTTTATTAAGTACAAATATTTTATTTTTAAGGTCGATTATGAAAGGGCAATGTAATGTGTTCACAGAACTCACAACTAAAGAGAGTAATATTTTTGATTGAATTTAACAGAACAAAATTGTTTTACAATTATTTTTGATATTGATTATTCAATTACATTTTTATTTTGATAATGCCCTAATTTGTTTATTTTATCAAGATACTTATAATTTCAACTACACAAAATAATGACTTTAACAGAAGGTCGTTTAAGAAAAAACTGATAATTTTTTATCTTTTTTACGTCATTTTTATTTTAAGAGAAAACATTTCCAAGATTACTAGAAAATATTGTGCAGACAAATGTTAATGATACTAGTATATAATAATCAGCAGTGAACCAAATTAAAAACAGTGTTATTTTAAGGATCAAATAACAGATTGTTATGGTTTACATTGCAATGTTGTTCCAAGCTACAATTAATGTGTTTTATTGTAATACATTTATTTTGTTTTTTGGTTTTTATGAATTCAAATTTGTAACTTTTTTTCTAATTTAAGTTGGTTTTTCAATAAAAGGGAACAGAGTGTATTCAAACTACCTCTATATAGTTAAAATGGCTAATTACTATGAGCATGCATTACTTGTATGTATAATAATAAAACTGTGAGAAAAAAAATGTACAAAAACTAATAAGGGTTTCTTTTTTTAAAACATAATAAATTATGTTGCAAGTAGAAAAATTAATAAAATCTAAAAATGGATATTATTCAAATTTTAGATTTATTAAATAATTTTAAGATTTTTGAAGGGTGTAAAGGGTATGGTGTATTTTCAATATTTTTTAATTGTTGAATGAACAATTTATACTATAACATTTTTAAGAGGTTTTCGTACATGTATAAGACAGAGACAACACATGCAGTAAAAATTATAAAATTGATTTTGTCTAAAAATACTGTGAAAAATAATGGGAATTTCACCCTGTACTTTGACTTCCAAAAATACCAACTAGATCAAATTTGTACAAGAAATCACCATTAAAATGATAGATTGAAGCAGCTTTAATGCTTCAAAAGGTGATGAGTCTAGAGACCAGATTTTTATGTTTTTACACCTTTTTGCTAAAGGTATGTAGCTCCAAATGGATAAGCTTTCTCGATGATTCATTTACCTATGAACTGATATACAAAATTGTTTAGCACGTAAACATGAATATTTCAATATTAAAGAATTTTTTTTACAAAAAATATGTTACAGGAATATATTGTTAAATTGGGATTTAATTTTGAATATTTTATAAAGAAATGCAAAAATATTTTCAGTATAATATCATGATGAAATTACGAAAAGCAATATTGATAAGAAATTAAGAATTTAACATAGATAAGAAACTCTATTATTCTCTAGATATTTTATCTTACACTCTTAGACGGTGCATGGTGGTAGTTTCCGCGTTCAATGTGGGTCTAATAATTAATGTTAGGTGAACCAACATTTTTATGGAAAAGAATATTTTTGCATATAAAAAATTATTTTTATGAAATTATAGAGCATAGAAACATCTTATTTTGTAAGATTTTAAGCACATATAAATCAGGTCTCTAGTGATGACAAATTGACATATGATAGAAAAAAAAAATAAACACATTATTGAAAAACAGTACATTACAATTCACTCGCTTAGTCTAGAATATCAAGAATTAAACTTACCGTGACTTTTCACTCATTGTTTCCGTATTAGATAACCGTACTCTTGGTAAATTTGGTTGTTTTGTTGTTGAACCATTGCTTAGTAATTTATTATCTTCTTCAAATCTAAAATTTATTTATTTATTTAGATTAGACTTGTTACTAATTACCAAAGCATAGTTTAACGTAAAATTTAACTTAAATTTAAATGTAGTGACAACTCTTATAACAAAGACACTTGCCCTCAAACTTTATGCTATATATTCATGAATTCAATATTTATTGTCAATTACGCCTCAAATAATTAATAATATAAATGTATTTGTATTTTCAAACTAGTAATATTATGTTGACACATTTTAAAATACAATAAGAAAATTATTATTATTTAATAATTTTGTTTAGTTACTATTTTGTATTGAAATATATTGGGCATCTTGTAGCATATAACAAATTTAATTGAAGTTAAGCTTATTAATATTTAAAATAAATTGGTATTTACATTCAATGTTGGTTAGACACACCATTGTAATTTTTTTTACTCTATGAAATAATATCAATTCTATTCCTACAGGCTAACGTTGTGTATATCTGTTTATTTCAATGCCATTCTATAAATGTAGATTTTATTGAAATTTTAAGTAACCTTTGTGAGTAAATATAACAAAAATGAAATAATGATTAGTTGGTATTTGGGCTAATAACATATACACATATCAGTAGCATTTAGTGGTGACTCTTCACTCTTCATTAAAACTAGGCATGACTCGTTGGAGTATATTATATAATTATGTATATCTAGATTATATAGTGAATTAATCATATTATTCTGTTTAAGGTTTTGACTTGTAATTAATTTAAGTGTTTAAAGTTTCAACCATGATACCTAATATTAAAAACATTTTATTTAAAATATATCATTTTGATAGTATTTTTATAATTAATTTAATGTGCATAGCGCCCATTTTACAGCTATACATCCAATAAAACTTCTATATCATGATTTTAAAATAATTTAACTGTTCAAAAATATTCAATCAAAATGTATATTTTATTATTGAATGAATTTGTTAAATATTATGATAAAAATAATTTTTTATTTATTTTATTTTAAGTAAAATTATCTTAAGAATACTCAAAATGTTGATGTGCTAGTAAGAAATTAACATATCAAGTAACATATAACAATTTATTGGAGGAAATATCTAGTTATGGTACTTCTACTGGTTTGAAAAAACAGTGAAATATGTTAATTATTTCAATAATAAATGCCACGAGAATTTGTTTATTTCTTATTATCTAAGTAAGATAGATATTTATTATTGTATAATTTGTATTTAATATAAACATAGTTAAAAAATGAAATTGTATTTTTAAAATACTTCTCATTTATATAATTTGAAAAATAGAGTTTAAATTAAACTTATTTTCAAATTAAGTTAGGTAGTATCTTAACATATTTTAAATTGCAACTCATCTTCACGATGAATTAGAGCAACCATAAACAAATCACATTTCAACAATTTTAACTTAATATTTATGTAACTATAGGTACATATTATAAATAGAGTTAAATTGAAATTCAAGTAGGTAAAATTTTTAAATAGAATTTGCAGTTTATAAAAAATTATACTTAATATTCATGAATAGCATTTGGTAATATAAAATACAAGATAATATATTAACTTTAATGCCCTATTAACACTTTAAGATGTTCTATTAAATTATTAGGTATTTATGTTATTGTATAGTAATCAATACATTAAAGTTACATTTATTATGTGTTGAAACTTGAAACATAAGAGCTTCAATTGCTGATAATAATTATTTGTAAAATAAAAAATTAATTAAATAAGATATCTCACTTTAATGACTGTAAGCTTGGTATTGGAGAATTGAATCCAAATGAAGCACCGGATGTTCCTTGAATAGCCAATTTTAACTGTCTTCTTTTTTCTAAAAATGAATAAATTGTACATTCAATTTTAGTTAAATTTATGCGTCCAGTTATAAATAATTTTCAATAAATACCTGTTATCGCAGCTTCTTGGCGCATGTCTAACTGTGGATGAGAAGGTCTTGCGGCTCCTAAAATTAAAGTCAGACTTTACTATACAAGTATACAACATTGAACATTTTCCATACTTAAGTATTTAAAGTAAATTATCTATGAGTAAAGAAAACTACATAATATCACTTACCAGACGGCAAACTTCCGTTACTGTCATTGTTGGACATTTTTGTATGACTAGGATGTTGCTAACACTCATGAGAAAATGTTAAGTGATTTGAAATTGTTCGTAGGATAACTTAAGAAATATTAGATAATAATTATGAATTCAATTTTATATTGGCTATATTTTCACCAGTGGCATCAATTCTCAGCTAACTATTGAAATTTCAAATTGATCACTGAAGTCTGAAGTAGGTAGAAAAGACTGAAATTGAAGTGAACACTCGAGTACTCAACGTCTCAAGTCTCAACACGACAAGAAAATATTAAGGATGACATTACTGATAACAAAAATTGCAAGATAAAATGTTTGTCAAGTGGATCATTGACATTTCATTTGGCCACACTGCCAATCAACATCGACACGTTTTTAGATTATATGTATATTTATTATTATGCTTATGTGATAAAATATTTATCATGCTTATCATGTATTTAGAATTCTTATCAATGTACTCCGTGGTCTAAAGACGATAGCCACGAATTGTAAATGTAAATAATATAAATAAAATTATTTTACTATTTAGTATTTAAAATTTAGGTAAAACTAGTTAGCTCAGTTGCTACAGCTACTTTTATCATCATATATTTTTTTTATTCTAGTCAATCTTTGTAATTTATTCAGTTATGGCGTTGAATATTTAGTTTTCAGTTAATCTGAATCCGTTTGCATCATGACACCTGTAATTAATTTTAACCAATGTCAAATGTTTACACTACATGGTTATAGCTAATTATGAGTAAAGACCATAACTATGTAAGTATTTATATTATAGTCATCAACCATTATATTATACTAAAAGACATTGAAAATCTTGTAACTATTTTTTTTTCAGATAGCTCTTAATATATATAATGTAAAAAATTCAGATCACAGCTCAACCATGTTGAAAGAGCTCCGTCAAAGCTTAAGTTCTTCTCATGCATACCGCATTTCGAATTCTACTATACGTTTTCAAACACATTTTGTTATTTTCGTCTCATTAATCGGTATTCTCTTCTTAATAGTACTGTATAATATGTCATATACAGCACCAACACTTGTCAGTTATGGCCTTAATCATCCACATGAAAAATTTGTGTACAGATCAACTAAATCAAAGTATCCATTGTCTCAACCAGTTTCTATTGACAATGTGGGTATGAAATTTCGTATAGCTATTATTAGTGATTTAGATAAAGCATCTAAAAGCCAGACTGAAAAAAATACGTGGTACAGCTATTATAAAAAAGGATTCCTTACGTGGTATACAACTAATAACTCAATAGAACTTGTATGGGATCTTGAAGAGCCTAAAATATTAAAATCATCTTTATCCATGGGAGGTCGAGGAATGGAACTTTCAGAATTGGTTACATTTAATGGCAAAATATATTCGTTTGATGATCGGACAGGTATCATTTATAATATTAGTGAAGATGATACTGTTTTACCTTGGATAATACTTATGGATGGAAATGGAACTGATTTTAAAGGTAAAAGTTTTACCCCAAAATAAATTAAATTAACAATTTTGGTTCTGTGATTTTATATAAATTCATTTGATATATTTTATTAATTACTGCTTTTGTTTATTTTTATCCGTATATTGTATGGCTTGTTAGATTTTCTATTCTATATTTGTAATAATTGAAATAATAAATATGTGATATATTAAATAAAATAATAATATGTATGTGACATGTTAAGCAATCACAGTTCTAGTTGCTTAATTTTAGATAGGAAATCACTAGGGAGTGGATTTATATGTAATAAAAATTCATAAATATATAATTTATAATTTTAAAAAAAATTAATTTTTGTATGAGTACAATGCATTTATGAAAAAAATACTTATGAATGATGAAATGATAAAATATGTTAAAAAATGTATACAAATTAGTGAAATATGTAGTCATACCAAAATGTGTAAAATTATTTAAAATAAAATTGGAGTCATTATAATAATTATAATAAGAATAATATAAATTGTGAACATTTCTTATCAAATCTTAAATATCTTGTTCTAATAAAAATATGAATTTGTATATAAATCCGTTCCCTAGTAATCACTTATAATCTAAGAATTTAAACAATTGGCATACCATGTTCATAGAATAACCATATAATATATATAAATACACTTTGTACATAATTACATCTCAAAAAAATAATCACAGGTTGAACATTTAACAGAACCTAACCAAAATAAATAGAAAATAGGCAATAGCTTTTTACTAATTTTATTGGAATAATTTAATGTATAATAATAAATTTATAACATTTTTGTGATCTGTTCAAACTTATTATATCTTATTAAGTTGATTATTAAATTATTGATTAATGATTAGTATACCTAACCTATACAGTTTTTATTTTTATTTCACAAATTGAATGTAAATTACACATATCTATACTCAGTTCAAAATAAGATTACCTGGCAGCCGAGTTGTACACTTGTCATGGCTTTGTACTAAAGTACTGGTCCCTTGGGTCAACTTGGTAGGGGAAGTGTCTTACAACGTGCCTGACACCGCCACCTGACGAAAACTGGTCAAGATCTTATTTTGAACAAAGTATATATAGATCGATAAAAGTAAATTATTATTTATTATTATACATAATACATTGCTTGCTACAGTAATAAACAATTAATTAATAATTTTGGGTGAGAATTCTACAATTATTGCTAAAATTATTTTCAGGATTTAAAAGCGAATGGGCAACTATATATAATTCTGATTTATATGTTGGAAGTATGGGCAAAGAATGGACTTCATCTACGGGAGAATTTGTTAATAATAATCCTATGTGGATAAAAATTATAAATACATTTGGCTATGTAACTCATGTTAACTGGACAGACAACTATATTGCGATTCGGAAAGCAGCCAACATAAATTACCCTGGATATATGATACATGAATCTTGCGCATGGAGTCAAATACATAAACGATGGTTCTTTTTACCACGGAGGAGTTCATCAAAACAGTATAATGACAATGACGATGAATACATGGCTACAAATATGTTGATATCAGCTAATAATAATTTTAACGATATTAAGGTAATATACTGCCAGTCCACCAAAACAGGGAACACTATAACTCGGTATTATAACGTGAGGGAGTCTGGTGGAAATTGTCTACAGTTTTCTAAAATTTTAAAATTTTATTTTATGTCAGTTGCCACCTTAATTATAATATTTCTCTACTTATCTACTGACCAACTGGACTAATGAACTATAAACTTTTAACTATCATTTTTTATCATTTTTTTCTACTTTTAAGTTCTAAACACCATGAAACAATCAATATTCATTAATCTGACTTTATTTAATTTAATAACTTATTAATTATTATAGTAATAAGCTTGTTTTAAAAAACTAGCCAAAATTGTCTAAAATCAAATTTAAAATTTTTGGATTAAGAATACAAGTTGAATAAAAATCATCAAAGTTCTCATTTAAAAAAAAAAGTTGTTTTCTCATGCACAGAATGAGACATAAAAGACAGAAATACACATATTATTACAGTTGTAATATAGATTAATTTCTATCTGAGAAGTATTGTTATTTGTTCCAATTAAATTCAAAAATAAGCATAAGCCATAAGGATACACAATTACTTGGTAGTTATAGTGTTCTTGTAGACACAGTATACATCGACAATATTAAATTTAAATATTTTAATTTTTACATCATTTGATATTTTAATAGGTAGTACATATTGGCAAGATAGTACCTACTCATGGATATTCTAGTTTTAAATTTCTACCTGGTACAAATGATAGAATTATCGTTGCACTTAAATCTGAAGAAGTTGGTTCAAAAACTGCTACTTATATTACAGCATTTAATATTGATGGAACGATTATGCTACCAGAAATCAAAGTAGCTGATCTTAAATATGAAGGAATAGAATTTATATGACCCATATCAAATTGTTGTGATTTTAATTATATAAATAATGTATTTATAATGTTAACATGTATTTTACAATGTTACCTATAAGGACTGTTTGAGTTTTTCTATAAATAATGAGAGTTCTTCTTGAGAAAATTCCAAAAACACATTTTCTGATACTTTTGGATTTTCCATGTTACTTGACCTAGGGCCATCCTTTAAATGCAATATAACTTGGAGTAACGGTTCTTCCAATGTGCTTAATGAGCTGCTGCCCATTACATACTAAAAAATGTAAAAAAAAAAAATCATAGGTAATACAATAAATATTTTAAATACCTATGATTCAACTACAGTTGACATAGTACATAGGTAACAAAATGTATTTTATTCACAGAAGACAATTTATACAAATTCTTTTATATGGTAATAAATTATTTTAAATTAAAATACAGCAATGTAAAAGTATACACAAATATACTTTAACAATATGTAAGTATGTTTCTTCAATAATTTTGATTGAATAGCATCAAGGGATTATTCTGAATATCAACATAATCATAAGCACAATTTAACCTAAAAATGTAGAGGTGCATGAGAGTTTGACTGCTGTAACCCAGGCATCATAAAGCAGTATTTATATATAAGTATTTGTTTGTATTATCTATATATAGCAGAACCTCATTAAACTGGACTAATTGGGGCTATAAAAGCCAAGGCAAATATTTAAACAATGTTCAGTAAAAATGTGTATTCTAAATTTAACAAATACTAGTTATTTAATTTTCTGTGGAATTTGATGTCATGCTTATTTTGATCTGCGGCACAAAGTAATAAATATCATTATGAAGTATTTATTTGAATTATTTTTCTAATAATACTAATAATATGTATTATTAAGCAGCTTTTTGGATTAATGAGGCTCTATTGTTTATATATTTGGACAGCTATATCTGAAATTCTATCCAACAAATTTGAGAAATTGTTTTATTTTAACTAAAGTATGGCAAACCATCTAATGAGAATAGATCTAGACCACAAAAAAGAAGAATGCTAAACTGCTAACTTTGACAAAAATATTATCGATACAATTTGTAATTACGGAATAATATTGAAAAATAAAAATATAATTTAAGTTTTGGATATTCCATTAATGATTGATTGATACATTTTTAAGTATCAAATGTAGATTTGATTTTCAAGTAGATTAATCTGTGCTGTTTTTAATAACAAATGTTTAAAAAAATTCTGAAATGATTAACAAAAATGTTTTGGTTTTAATTTAGAATTATAAACAATTCAGACATATTATTTAATTTTGATTTGTGGAGTTTTACATTTTACATTGAATTTTTTTTCTGTTAACAATTAAACAATTGTATTCTAATTGAGAAAATATTAATTTCTTATAATATGTAATGCTATAGTTATATTAAAAATAAGTCTTCTTTCTGAACAATAACATATTTTTTAAATAAATATTCAAACAATTTACCATTTTTATAAAAAAAAACTTAAAAACAATAATTTACAATAGGTACATGTTTTGTTTATATAATTTTCTGAGATTTTTTAAGATTGCAGCTTACTTCATCTTCAGCTTTAGGTATCAAATTTAGTAGCTCTTCGATATCCGTTTGGAAATCATCATCTGCCCAGTATTCAATAAGTTTCCTCAAAATTATTCCGATTTTCTTCCCATCTTTCACCCCATGACTTTTAATCATATTTCCTGTAATAGGAAACTTTAATGGTGTCCATTTTTGAAATTCTTCGAGAATTGTTCTCTCGTTGTTATACATCAATAACTGTTCAATATACACTTTCATAACACTCTGTTTGGGAGGATTTTGAATAATTTTTATTTTATTTCTTTTGATGGTATCTGGTGTCCATTTTTCGTCTCTACTTTCTATTAAGAATAATCCCAAGTCCCTGTCAAACACCCGAAACTTTAATCGATTGTTTAATTCAATCATATCTTGTACATCTTTTAAGAATGGTATTAACATAGTAATTGGTTGTAATTTTAAGCCTTTGCTTCGATTAATAACTTTATCAAACTCGTCTATGTTAGGTTGATCTGGAAGACCAATATATGGACTAAGGCCTAAATTCAAAAGAGTCTTCATAATATCAGGTCCATAGTTTCCTTCTAAAATTTTTTGAAGTTCTGACCAAATCCGTTCACCAGATATATTTTTAAGTCCACTGCCTTTTTCTCGTATTGCTTCAAGAATATATTCGTCATGAAGGTTGGGTGCGGTAGCCAAACGACCATAAAATCTGAAATAACGTAAAATTCTTAAATAATCCTCAGTGATGCGCAATTTGGCATCACCAACAAATCTTATTTTACGCTTCTTCAAATCTTCATATCCATCAAAATAATCATATATGGTGCCATCCATTCCTAAGAACATGGAATTTACTGTTAAATCTCTTCGTCCTGCATCTAGTAACCAATCCTTAGTATATTCAACCTCAGCATGTCTGCCATCAGTCACAACATCAATTCTCAGTGTAGTAAGTTCAAAATTAACACCATCAACATGGGTAGTTACTGTTCCATGTTTTAAACCACCTTTATTAACAATTCTAATGTTTTCATTGTCCATCATTTCAACCATTTCGTCGGGAGTAGCTGTAGTGGCAAAATCCAGATCAGTAGGAGTCTTGCCCAACAGAATATCACGTACTGCACCTCCACAAAGTCTAATTTCATGCTTGTACTTGTCAAAAACTTGTAATACCGTGGTAAGTTGAGGAGAAAATATAAAACCGTATTGTGAGCTTTCAAGTTTCATGATTGCTGGTGTTAGTCGTGGTTTAAGATTGTAACTAACGACTGGATTTTCAAAACTCAGAAAACGAAAAGGATATGGTCGGTATGGACGTAGTGAAAACAGTTTACACAAATACTTCATAATAAATAACGACGCATAAAAAGAAAAACGTCCATCATAAATATTAAATTACTAAAATAAACATCTATAACTCAGAAATTTACCTTTAATTTCCAGTCAAAATCTACCAAATGTTTATCCATCATTTGAATTTTTTTTCTATTTTTGCGACCTATCGCCTATCGTACACGAGAAGACATGAGCACACATATTGTAAATATAGTTATTTGTTATTAACATTATCAATAAGTATACATTACACAATATTTTCAATGAATAAATTCCTCTTAGTGGAGTCTATCGATACGTACCGGTTCAATAAAACAATTCATGTGCGATTTACCAGCGATACGTACCAGCCCGTATCAAATTTTTCTTCTTAAATATCTAGATAATTTAGGTATTTTAATTTGAGTTCTTCAAAACTGTCAACACTGGTCAGGTTTTAGAGGTTATACTATTACATTTTAATCGAAATTAATCGATTTTATAAAGGTTATAATGAGCTATTTAATTGAGGAAAAGTCAATAACCACTTTTTATTAGACTTAAAATTAAACTAATACTATTTAAATATATTTGAACCCATAAAATAATATTTAGAGCTGGTTATAGTTATGAAATCAAATATTTAAACAACTTATTTAAACATCGATAAGTTATCTCTTTTTCCGATTGTTTTGATATCACTGTAGTCCGCGTTGCATATTGTTTTTCTTCCGTCTCTTGTTGGGTTGATGTGTTTTCTTAATCCGTAGAACATTTTAGAAGTTTTGTCGCCAAACAAACTTCATCAACTTTTTTCTTCGTCAACTAGTGACTACCAAACAGAATATGGTAAGCGTTATTTAATGAAATACATAAAAAAAATTCAAATGTTAAGTTTTATGCTAGTGTAAAATTCTATGCGATACTCTCGCAGCCTAACCTCCATTGCTCTATCTTGCCACATGGTTTTTGGCTCTCAACGCCGTTTCTAGTTGACATTTCAATAATATTTTCGTTGCATGTTATTATATCGTCTTGATCATTTAGTATGCATCTTATTTACAATATCTGATCAAGTACTTATTTTTCCCTTCTACGCGACATTAAAATATTTTTTTTATTACCTAATAACTTAAGTATGTAAGTGGTTGGATGAAAAATGGTTCTGTAGTATCTCTAATATTTTTTGATTGTTTCTATATTTTTCACATTTAAAATCAATACTTAAAATAATTTTGCACACAACCAAAAAATATTGAAAACAAATAATCTTTAGCAGACATTTCATAATTTTAATCTTATTGCATACCTATGTGTATATTGGATTACATGATAAAACTATTGAATCTAACACAACATTGACGAATACTTTCAATATGCTTACTTAATTTACATTATTTTGTCTCATGATGAACCTTACACACTGATCATTTAAGTGATTGTATATTAAGGGACGTAATTCTGAAGATTTAATAATTATTTTAATATGTAGTAATGAAATTAATTTAGTGATGAATCTTACGTACTGATAATTTTAGTGATTGTATATTAAGGGACGTAATTCTGAAGAATTAATAATTGTTTATTTATGTAATATTGAGAATAACTTAGTGATGAATCTTACGTACTGATAATTTTAGTGATTGTATATTAAGGGACGTAATTCTGAAAAATTAATGATTGTTTATTTATATAATATTGAGAATAATTTAGTGATGAATCTACGTACTGACAATTTTAGTGATTGTATATTAAGGGACGTAATTCTGAAAAATTAATAATTGCTTAAATCTGTAATATTGAGAATAATTTAGTGATGACTCTTGTGTACTGACAATTTTTGTGAATGGATATTAAGGGACTTAATTCTGAATTAAATATTTTTTAGTTCGTCAAATAACACTTGATCATTAGGTACCTACTATGAAGTCTTGAATTTGTATAAATAATATCGAACAATTTTGAGTCATACCCATTACACAACAATTTATATGTTTCATCCTAGACAGAGTATTAACTTCAGTAAATTTACTATTTTGTTTTGTAATTGAATAAGTGGGAAAGCACTTGCCTTGCTTTATTTGACTCAATGAAAGATAGTGGATAATGGTTTGTTCTGATATTAAATTAAAAACCAATGGCTTGAACCTATGCTTGAATGATATTGAGTAAAACTTAAAAGTTAAATTCCACTTTATCCTCGAGGAACGAAAC